ACGCCCCGAGATAGTCAACGAGCGTCCGGGGGACATGTAAGGCGTATTGTCATGGTCAGGTCGACTGCTTCTCGGCGACGGCTCTTCTTGACCACTCGTGCGTCGTGAGACGAGCGACAGAAACCGCCGAGTAACCGTCAGTCTACACCGTCACCATGGACCAACGTCACAAATTCCATGGATAACAGCGTGTGAAGAGAACTGCTCACCGGTGGCTCTGTATCGCTCACAGGTAAGGGTGCTATTGCCACCAAGTTGCGCTGGCAAGTGCCGGTTCTGTGGTGCTGTACGTAGTAAGACCTTCATTCACAATACGGTGGACTCGAGCTCAGTGAAGGTCCATCGACGCCAGATGGTTCTCACCCGCTGTCCCGCTGTCCACGCAGTCACAAAGGAATGGTGCTGCTTGGCTCTCATACCTTCGTCGCGTTTCGCCAATGTTCCAACTCGATATGGCTTCAAGGTCTCCAGCGCCGCATTTTGCATTTGGATTGGAAATGAGTACAGCGGGCGTCCTGCAGCTCACAGCGGCGTTTACGATTTGGGGTTTCATTCCCATCTACTGGAAGCAGGTCGCGTCGACGCCCGCGCTGCAGCTCGTGTGCCACCGCCTCGTCTGGTCGTGCCTCGTCCTCGTTCTCTGGCTGCTGTGCTTTGGTCATCGCCAGGCCTTTCTTAGTGCGATCGCCAGCCGCCGTGTCCTCGGTACGTACCTTCTCTCGAGTCTCTTTGTCACTGGAAATTGGCTCATCTGTATTTGGGCCATGAACGCCGGCTACATTGTCGAGGCGAGCCTCGGCGCATTCATCAACCCGCTCATCTACGTCGCCTTCGGTGTCGTCCTCTTCCATGAGCGCCTCGCTGCATGGCAGTGGGCAGCGATGGGGCTCGCGACTGCAGGTCTTGTCGTGACGGCCGTTGCGTACGGCAAGTTCCCGTGGATCGCGCTGACCGTCGCCTTGACGTTTGCTTTGTACGGGCTCGTCAAGAAGACGGCACCGCTCTCGTCGTTCTACGGTCTGGCCGTCGAGACACTGCTCTTGAGTCCCTTTGCACTGGCCTACTTGATTGTCGTTCAAGTCAAGGGACTGGACCCGGCGTTTGGCCACGGCAGTGCGAAGACCCAGGTGCTTCTTGTCGGTGCCGGCGTCTTGACGATCGTGCCGCTCCTTTTCTTTTCGTCCGGCGCCAAGACCGTGCCCATGACGCTGCTCGGTGTGCTGCAGTACATCACGCCGAGCCTCCAGTTTCTCGTGGGCGTTTGCATCTACCACGAAGAACTCTCGATGGCCAAGCTCGCCGGCTTCATCCTTGTCTGGATTGCTCTACTAGTGTACACCCTCGAAAACCGGTGCTGCCGTTCTCCGTCCTCCGAGAACCAGAACGATACGAAGGACAACATCAACGCGGACGACAATGGCGACGATGACAATGCCAAATCGTACCATAGTGTCTAGTGTTTTCGTGGACAAACGACGTGAGCCTCATAAATTCATTTGATCGTTATTTTTACGTTACACACGATCGATTTCGGAAATTGTGTACACAGTGTCATTCATGACCTTCCAAGCAAACGCATTACGATAGCGGGCGATATCAGGGCATCTTTTGAGCTTGAACAGTCCAAGCGTACCTGCTCCAGCCTTCTCAAAGTTGTAGCTCCAAGCATGCATCCGACGGAGAACGAACCTGCGTTCCTGAGAGAGATCATGGAACAAGTCCCGCCTCGGAAACAAGCAGAGTAGAATGCGCTGTCGTTAGCTTGGACCAAGGGAATTGGCTTGGCTTGGACAACCGACGCGACGACACTTAACTCCTGGCCCTACTGCCAACCTAAAATCGAGTGTTGCGCACGATACCAGTAAGTTTATACTGTGAGCCACAACTAGTGTACGTAAAACCTCATCGCTAGTAGCTAGGGTCAATACACAGTGCATTAACCCTTGCTATAAGTCGGCATTTGCCACTGCGTGCACAGCGCCACCTCGGCCGATGCTCGTGGCAAGGCCGACTCTATGGCGTCACACGTCATTGCACACGTCCTGCGTTCTGGCTCTCGCCCATATTCGCTCCAAAAGTGCACTTTGCCACAGCTGTATCCAATCACACGCGTTGCTGCATCTTCTATTCACTCATCTAAGCGAATTCAGGTGGGTGGAATGAACCAATTATTTGCGGACTTTGGTTCTCACAATCTGTACTACACTTAGGCTCCTGGCCCATAACTCTCAAGACCCTTAGCCTAAGTAATGCTAACTACTCAGATCGCACACGTTATCGCAAGAGGGTAGCTAAGACACTATGGCTGTAGCGACTACGCCCTCGGCCAGGCCTTGACAGCTACGCTCATGTCCATCAGCGATATCCCAATGCGCTTACCATCTCGCGACCAGCGACGCACCGGCGGCCGTCGACCGGTGCTAACCGTAGGTTGAGCCTACGGTACGCTTCACGTCCGGTGCAGCCTTTCTCACAAATCGATGAAGAGCCCGGCGGTTCCGAACGCCGAGACGGTCGCGCCCCGCGAGAGCGTGAGCGGCTGCAAGGCGTCCTTGCGGCGCGTCATCTGGCTCCTCTTCCCCGTCGGCATCCTCGCGGCCGCGATCGTCGGCCTGCACGTGGCGGCGCGGCCTGCGCCGACGACATTCCACGTGGCGCAGGCGATCGCAGCCGGCCGCGTGCCCGTGCGTGGCGTCAACCTTGGCGGCTGGCTCGTCGCCGAGCAATGGATGAGTCCGCGCTCTGACATTTGGAAGGACCTGCCGGCGAATGCGACGTGGACCGAGGTCGACGCGGCGGCAGCGTACGCGTCGGCGGCCGCCGGCGTGAAAGGCCAGCTCGGCGCGCGCTTTGAGGCGCACCGCAAGAGCTGGATCACCGAGAGTGACATTGCTGCGATCGCGGCTGCCAACTTCAACACGATCCGCATTCCGGTCGGGTACTGGATTGGCGGTGCGACGACCAACTCGGACACGAAGAGCAGCTTGTGGGCGACGTTTGCGCCGGGCGCCCTCGCGTACCTCGACACAGCGGTGCAGACGTGGGCACCCAAGTACAACCTCTCGGTGCTCATCGACTTGTACGCGACGATGAATGGGAACCACTGGCCCGACCCGGGCGACACCAAGGTCCCGCTCGCCAAGTACAACACGACGCTCAACACGACCATCTTTTTGGCCACGCGGTACGCCAAGGCGCCGGCGCTCCTGGGCATTGGCCTCCTCTCGACGCCGGACGACAGCGCGCATTTCCGGTCGCTCCTCTACTACTACATGAACGCCTATCGCAACGTGCGCGGCCTGTCCGAATCGATGGTCGTGACGACGTGTGCGAGCCGGTCGTTCCAGCGACCGGGCGACGTGGCGTCCGTCATGTCGGAAGACAAGACGTTCATGAACTTTCTCATCAACCCGGATCTGCCCGAGAAGATCACGCACGCGTGGCACGAGTGGCAGCTGCTGCCAGGCATGAACGACACGGCACTGGCCTCCGACCCGGCGACGTGGGCCGCTCGCATCGACGGCTGGAAGTCGCATGAGCCGCTTTTCATTGGTGCGTGGACGCTCGGCGTCGGTGCCAATGCCTCTGCGCCCACGACGCCGGCCGACAAGCAAGCTCTCGCGGCCAAGCTCGTCCCGGTCGTCAACAAGGCGCCGCGCGGTTGGGTGTATGCAAACTGGAAGGTCGCCGACAGCACCCGCGGCTGGGGCTGGTCGCTCCAAGACGTGCTCCAAGACGGTGTCAAATTACCGTAATCTGTCCATGAAAAACGGGTTTTTGCAACGTACGGCGCTCCCGAACGGAATGCTGGGCAAGGCGAGTGCACTGGAATATACGCTGTATGGTGCATATCGGGGTGCCAGTGTTCGCCAAACCGTTGGCACCAGAGACGCGACCTTGCGCCCATGACCCCACCAGCTACTAGTTAGTATGTGGAAGTCGCAATGGCGCCAGCCTTGAAGGACTAGGGTTGCGGCTTGGTTCAGCAAGCAGAATCGTCTTATGTTGCCTCACGCAGCGAGAGGAGCAGCGTGGCTGCGGCGACAGATCGCGGCTTATCGGCGAGTCGAGAAGATGGAGATGGCGGCGCCACCAAGTCGTAGCAAGCCAAAATGTGAAGATGACACCTTGATGGACATACGTCGTCAAAGTGCGAGCATTGCGCGCAGGCCAGATTGCACGTACACCGTCCTCGCAGCGTTGTCAACCGCGCCAACATGAGCTCGTCCGGGTCACCGCCGCGAGTGCTGCAGCTGCATCGCAGTGTATCGGTCGCGTCACCAGTCCGACCGTCGCAAAACGAGGTGCCCTCTTTGACGCGTAGATAGCTTTACAGAGACGGGCCTCATACACGTCGTCGTGTACACATACCCAGCGCGCAAAATGCACCCAAGAAGAGCCAGGTCCCGTCGTACGACGTTCAAGTAAACGCGCTTCGTCTTTGCGCCTTTGCTGCATCAATACCGTCAACGGATGCCATCGACACCCGAGGGCTTATCGTGCCGTGGCGGTGGTCTGCAAGCATGGTCTGCGCCAGGCTACTCGGATGGGTAGTACCTAGATCGCCACTGGTATGTGCGCTCTGTCCGACGACCGCATCTCTGTGCCGTAGCAAGTACCACGCACCGCGCGTGGCTGAGAAGATGTCGACGTGCTTGTCCCTGGTGTTGCTGTTGGTCACGGCGGCGGAACGCGCGCGCAACGTGGCGGCCGCAGAGACCGCGCGCGCCCGACAGGCGATCGTTCAAAAGAACCCGTCGTCTTCGCATCACCGGCTGGCACAAATGCAATTTACACGACTCCACTCTATAATGGTTTTCTAGTCGGTGTGCCATAGAGACGGCGCTCAATGTTTTGCGTAATGGCGAGCGCAGACGTAAGCGAGCGCAAAATGATATCAATGCCTGATTCGACCGACCGAACGACACGTTGGATAAATGCACCCAACCATTGGACGGCAGATTCTCGGCGCGTTTACTGTGGATCGAAATGGGCGGCAAGTGGAAACATCGAGGCGGCCCACTGTACAGTTTGAACGCAGCACGTATCGCACACGGAACCGGTTGGCGACGCACCCATGCACGGTTCACCTTGGCGCTGTCGTCTTCTCGTTGGGTGGTCGGATACTCTGTAGTCGTCGTCGGTGGCGCGACGGCCTCTGTCGCATCGAGCGGCGTGGGGTATGGTATATCTTTGTGGTGATATACTCTAGCAAGTTTGGCGAACGAGGCTGCTAAAATGGGTGAGCTTACTACCGCTTGTCGTCGCACCGTACGGTCCCACCAAGTGGTGCGCGAAATCCTCCTAGCCGCACGTTGATGGCGAGTTTGCCTCGACGTTGTGCACTGGATTAACGTATACGGACGCGTTGAAGTTGGGTGCGACTAGTTGGACAAACTGGCGCGGTCACATGGGTACGAGAAATGGCACATGGACAAGCACCGATTTCTCTCGTGTTTATGGCGTTGATGATGGGGAAATATGGTGTCGGCAGCTGCTTTGCCCCCTCGCTCGCATCACCGCGACCGACGTGTTGCAGTAAACGCGCCGTCCCTTATGCCCGCTGCAAAAGAAAGCGATGTGTTCTTGAGGACAAGCGTGTGAGTAACGTAAAGATTCTCCTGCAATTATAATGGTGGCGGTCGACGAGGCGGCGTGGAGATGGAGCGTGTACTACTACCGCTGCACCTCCCCCGACCGAGTTCCGCTTGAAAGATACACCACGTGGCTAGCAAAGCTTGAAGCGCGTGATTCCGAGGACATCACCACGAGCTCCAGCAGCATCCACCACGACCTACTGGAACAGACTCCCATCACACTCGCCGAACGAATCCCGTGGTCGCCAAATATTGAAACCAAGACGTTTGCCCCTGTCTATGGCCGACAAGGCCACCCAAGTGTTAGGAACGCGTTCGAACCTGTGTTAGATCGCGCATTTCAAGCCACTTTGCCGTTTCAGTCGTGTTAACAAGCGTTATAACGCCGAGCGTTACATTATGGAGGTACGTGGCGCACGCAGCGCGCAGCCGGGTCTCTACGAGCCATGTCGCTCGTGTTCGGCCGCGCAGTCGTATGACACGGGCATCCCACTATGCACTGTGATCATATACAATCCGTTTCCACGTGCAGCCCGCCTCCATAAATACGGTCATTACACCGACACAAAGAAAAGATGGCGTCAAATGGGCCTTGGCGTGGACACCTCACACTTCAATTCGCCGCATATGTGCATCATTGTCAACAACCGCGACCACACCGCGACAACAGCATCCACGCCGTCGACAGGCGGCTGGCGGCGACCGCTGGCACCGCCCATGCTAAAGCCGCTTTTGCCACAACCGTCGACACCCACCTCGTCGTCGTCGTCGTCGTCGTCGCCGCTGCTGCCATCATTGCATCTGCTTCAACAGTTTGGCAAGTTTGCGCCACTGCCACGTCTCGTGCGCAGCATCTCGATGCAGATCCCGCCCCTTGCCAGCATTGACCGACAGATCTCGTGCCCCGTCACGACGACCACCACCACAGGTACTTGGTCCAAGTGCGACAAGTCCATAGGCTCATCGTCGCGCATAGAACTCAAGCCGCTCTCCAAGAAGCGCAAGATGACCATGGACGACATTACAAGTACGCTCGAGTCGCCGCCGTTCAAGAAGGAGCGTCGGGATGTCCCGCCGACACCGACACCGGCGCCGCTTGCGCCTCCGACCAAGCCGTCGCGTGCCAAGTACGTTGCATCCTTATGCCGGATATGAGATCTTATCGTGTGACTTCTAGTGCCCGGCAACCATCGACGATTGCGCGCCTCAAGACTGGCAAAGACGTCTGCGTTGTGCTCACGGCCGCTGGCGTCGTCGACTGGCAGGCCACGTATTATATGTACGGCTTTGACAAGAACTCGGTGTTTTACTCGCTCATGCCGCTCCGGAAGCTCCACGAGCCGTGGTCCATTGCCGAGACGCGCTACTGCGTCGAGCTCGTGCGACTGCTGCAGGCGGGCCACATGCGTGTGCCGCAAGGGCGCATGATGGACACGTACATTGCCGAGAAGCTGCACTGCGAGGGCCTCCGCGTCTCCAAGAAGCTGCGTGCGATCAAGAAGCGGGACCACGCGGCCATGGGCAAGTTTGTGGGCATGTCGCCGACCCAAGTCACGATTCTCAAAGATTGCAAAGTGGACTTTCTCAAGGGTCTGCAGTCCGAGATCGACGCCATCATGGAGAAGGAGCACCTCGACCAGAGCTGGGTCGTCACGGTCAAGCACCCCGTGCACGCGCAGCAGCACCACGCGTCACCCTCGTCGTCGTCGTTGTCGTCAACCTAGTTCTCGCACAATAAAACGCAAAAAAGAGAAAAAACGCAAAATTTCGAAGCCGTGTTTTTATTTCGCGCGCCATTTTCCGTGGCGCCACGTGGGCGGATGCACAAAAACACGCAACTTGGTTCGTTGAAGGGCCGCCGACGCCGATCGTGTCATGCGCCGAGTTGGCCGCGCGTCTTAGTATAAAGTCCACCTTGTATTGTTGAAGCGGCATCCTTGCGGGAAGGACACAGGTCGACGTTCGGACGAGGCTAATTTATTTGGGCTAGGAGTCCTGAGCGCAAGATGCATGCAAAGTGTGTTGTTGATGCTAGCTATGACCTGCCACAATGGCGCAGGATAGGTACTAGGATATGCAGCTATTACATGCCAGTCGCATCAGCTTCTTCTCGGCAGAAAAGTCGGTGGCGAGCTTGGCTGTGCGACCTTGCAAAAACAAGCTCGGAAGCTGCGTCGCCAAAGATAGGGGCGTGGAAGGGCACGCGCTCAGCGTTGCGACAACAGCGTTCATACCATCCCTACGCGCCGATCCTCCCTACGCGCCGATCCTTGGTGTGCTCGCTACCTCATTCCCAACACAATCCCGAGCCCTGACCATGCGCCCTCAGCTTGACGTACCGGCCAAACCTCACGAGCGCTCTAGGAAGTCCACCATCTTCACTATATAATTGCATGTTAATAACTCATTTCAACAACAGCGTTCATACCATCTTTATAATTGCATGTCAATAACTCATTTCAACAACAACTGCATTCATGCCACCAAACATGGTCTGTGCAAGGAGACGCCGCATCGCTGTCGACACCAGCAGTGGCTCGCAAGCCAGTGTTTTTGTCTCGCATCCAGTGTCTTTGTCCCGCATCCAGTGTTCTTGTCCGCAGCCAGTGTTTGGCTTGTATCCAGTGTTTTATTTGGCCAGTATGCAGTGTTTTGTAAAGGCCTCATACAGTGTTTCAACTGGTGGTTTGATCGAACCAGATTGGACGACAATCATTCTCGGCTAATCCTATGTGTTTCTTTCGCCGCCATGATCCAGTGTTTTAAACACAGTGCAAAGGAAGAGCCAAGGTGCGATGCAGAGCCCTGCATCGGTGGCGTCGCCGTGCAGCAGCAGCTGGGCCCACCTCTCCTCGCCGTCGTCGTCGTCGGACGCGCCATCATCGGTCGTCAGCGAGGACAGCTGCGTCGGCGGCCACTGGACCCACGGACCACCAACGATCGACCCGACCTGCTACAGCCTCGACCCGGTGCACGCGACCTCGGCATGCTGGAAACTCATGCGTCACCGCGTAGCCTCCGAATGCCCGTGCGCGCTATGACGTGCTTCTAGCGCAGATGGAGGCCATGCACGCGCTCCTGGCGGCGGGTGCGTCACGCGACACGCTCGTGCTTGGCGCCCATGCGATATTATCGAGCACGACTGCGCTGCACAGAGCCGCGGCGCGCTTGCGACAAGGCGCCCCGTAGTCATTTGCATGGAGCGTAATCTACGGCCTACACTGGAAGAACGGCTCGTATGCGCGCTATAGACGATGCGGAGACCCGGCAGCGATCGGCTTCCAAACCATCGCAGCATACGAGCGAGGTTGAATTGGCCCAGAGTATAAACACAGAGCCACGCACGCAAATATTGCAGCCGTCACTTGGTATACAGTAATGTAGCCGACTCAGGGCATTTCGAAAGGAGAAACTTCAACTTGGCGTGGTGATATCACACAGACACGCAGCGACAAGAAGGGTGCCAACGCCAACGACTTCTGGTTCAAAGGTATGTACTGTAAGCTACTGACCTCACGAGCGCTCTAGGAAGTCCACCTCACGAGCGCTCTAGGAAGTCCACCATCTTCACTATATAATTGCATGTTAATAACTCATTTCAACAACTGTATGCTACTGGAGGCTTCGCTTTGGCTGCGAGTAAACGTGCGCTTGGCGTCGGAGAAGGGTGCACATTTATACCACACGAATCCACCTTGCAGCGGAAATACCAAGGGCATGACTCATGCACTGACCACAACGACTAGCACGGAGCGTGTTTATGTACGACAGCAGCTCTGTTGACCCAGGTGCCCACCGCGATCTTTCTCCCTTGCATACAAACCGACGCGTAATAGCCTTTTATGAACAGGCTAAACCTACGAGTCGTAGTTCTTGGTGTTGTTGTGCACGCGAGAACATTGCGTTTGATAAAGTAATTTTGTTTAATATATAGAAGAATCGTCGTCAGTATTTGATTGCGACAACCCACGACTGATCGAGGCCGACGTTGGCCATGACGGTGAGCACGGAGCGCTCGAGCGTACTCAAAAAATAGCTCCGGAGTTCCTTGAGCTCGGCAAGCGCGGACGCGGTCGCACCATCCGCCGACGACGGCGACGGCACGAGCTTGAGATACCGGTGCACGCGTTCGCGGGTCGTGTGCAGTCGCTCGGCGATAAAGGTCGCCGTGCAGCGGCCGTACGGCACCCGGACATGGCCGTCCTTGATGCAGCGCTGGATGGCCTGGACGTAGTTGAGTTCATCTTGCGTCCACGGCGTCGACGTTGGTCGGACTGGCACGATCGAGCGAAAAATGCTGTTCGAGTCAAAGCCGTACTGCATGTACGACGCGACCCAGTTGACGTGCCCACGGTCGACAACGACGCAGACATCTTGGCCAGTTTTGAGACGCGCCAGAATCGCGCGGGTACTGCGGTCCGGTCTACTCATACTATGAGCATATTTGACACAGATGCAAGGTACACGTACGAAGTGGCGGACGAGAGCGGCGACGACGACTCGGGGCTTGTCGTGCACTCGTCGTCTTCCTCGCACGAGAGACAGTCCTCGGTATTCTCAGCGTCATCCATCGGCGACAGAAGCGCTTGGATCGTGTTGTAGCGGGGCGGCGTCCGCGAGGTCTTGGGGCCTTGGCACATGCGCCTTTTGGTGCTTGAAGTAAAATGAGCTCCAAATGCAAGTGAGCCAACTGCGTGTCCCACTGTGGCTGTGTGGAAAAAACATGCAGCGTTTTTGTAGCCAACTCTCGCTAGCCAATCACAGCAAGGTACAGCAACGCCACCACACGTGATCGGCGCGCAGCGTATTTATGCACGGACCAAAGGCGCCTACGGCGTAGGTTGAACAGAGGGTAGATTACGGATTGATTACGAGCGTTCATCCCATAAAATGAGCGAGCTCTCGAACCGTTCCTGCGTGGCGCAGTCCGTCGTCGCGCGGACAAGTCATGGGCCATGGTGCCCCTTTGGACGTCAGTGATTGGCTGAAAATCGACGCACACATGTATGCAGGCGGCATTTGATTGGCTGAAATGCATTCTTCCAGCGATGACAGGGCCAACACCGAGGAGTACCGTATTAGAGATGCAAGAGAGACGCACCTTGGAGGGCTATGGTATGGGACGTGGGTATACGTACCGGATGGAGTCTCGTGCGCGGCCAAAGCGTGTACGTGTTGACACCGACATGGACGAAAGCGATTGGATGGCCAGAGTTGGACAACCAGTCGCAACAATCACGTTATCGACGTGCCCAGTATGCGTGTGGCAAGCGCGGTTCGGTTCAGTGCCGCGTCTGATCACTGGCACGAAAAGTCATGTCTGGTTGACCGCAGACCGCGCGATCACCGGCTGCGCGGTCGCCAGCTGGCTGTCAAGTGCATCCAAGGGAACGATTTCGCGTCGATAGAAAGGCAGCAGCGTCGTTTCCGTGCGTGGGAAAATAACGTCATCATTGTTAGGGACTAGCGTCAGTGCCGTCCTTGCTTGCTTGGTCTGATTGTGATGCTTTGCGAGTGCCGACGAGGGCCGTTGCCTTCCATGTGGACGCCAAGGAACACTCAATAAGAGCAGTTTTGGGTTCTCGAATCAGGTCGTTCGCTCTGAATTCAAGACAGAAGCGTAGACTGGACGCATGCAGAGCCCCTACCATGGCCTCCGCTTCCTCAGCACATGCACGGTCGATTCATTGGCTGAGCCCGAGGCGCGTCAACGATTTCTCTGGACTCCTGCATTGATTGTCGTCAGCTCAATCCCATCGTCGTGCAGAGATTCGCACTTTTCTTGCAACCAGCGACGCTCACTGGGTTCGATAGCGCGCAAATGGTTGGCACCTGCATGCCAAAACATGGGGTATTTTTCACTTGGTCCGCAATTTGGCGAAAATTTCTCAATTGGTCCGCAACTTGAAAACCAATATTTTCACTTGGCCTGCCACTTACCCTTCTGCGTGGTTTCGAACGCAAAGTTGGCCTCTTGCTCAAGGGAAACATATTTCGCGTCAACTTGGGCGAGTGGGTCGAGGCAATGCACGAGAAATGTGGACAACAACAGAACACTACTACATTGCACTGCAGTCTAAGCTTGAACGCAAACACTGCATTTGTTCAAGGACTTCAAAAAGCAAATTCTATTTTCGACCAATCCGAGGCCGTTTGAGTATCTCTCTGACCAATCGAAGGACGATTTTTCACCCATTTTGACCAATGAAAGACTCCAGCGGTATCCCTCGCTCTCACCAGGCAATTCAACCGTCAAAATCACCGCGCAATTGACTGAAATCGGAGGAGAAACGAAAAGTGCATTCATTGCATGTAATATCAGTATAGTAATCCTCGCGGTTAGACCAACTGGAGCGCTGCCGTGTGCTGCTGAACGAGGCGTTGAAGGTCCTCGAGACACATGGCCGTGAAAAACTCCTTCTTGATATTCGCGACGAGTGCAACTCGCAACGCGGCAAGACCGTACTTGGCGCGGAGTGTCAAGACTGCTTCTCGCACGCCATGCAGTTTCGTCAGTTGCTTCCCCGTCGAGCTCGTCTTGCGGTCTAACTGTTCAATCTCATGTTGAAGCTTGCCAAGCTCATTGTTGAGCTTCTCGATGCTGGCCTGCGTCTTTCTCTGTGCGTCTTTGGTCGACGCCAAGGCTTCGCGGAGGTGAGTTAGAGCCCGTTCGGAGTCGCTCCGGCGGCGCTGTGCTGCCCCCAGATCGTTTTCGGCGACGGAGATGAGACCGTCGATCTGCGAGTAGAGCGGGATGCAGCGTTTGTGGTCGCCCGAGATGAGGCCTGCGAAAAAGCCATGCAGTGGAATGAGGTCGTACGCTGCGTTACTCTGGCGTTGGCGCTCTCTGCGAATGACATTTTCGAGTCGGTGGATCTCACAACGCTCTCGATCCACATGACCTTCGTGCATTCGGATCGACGCCTCATGCGCATTGAGGCGCTGGTCGTGTGCTTTCTTGTCCTGGAGCGTAGATTGTTGTTGTGCGACGGCCTTGGCGCGGTCGGTCGTCGCCTGCTTCAGCTGCGTGTTGAGCTGCGAGAGCTTGGCCGCGCATTTGGTGCACGCTTGGTTGTTCTCAGTCTCGAGTGTGTCAAGGAGGTCGGCGGCCTCGCAGGCAAACACCTCTGGCGAAACAAAGCGGAGGTTCTCAACCAAAGACATGAAATTGCACAGTGAGAGTCGTCAATCGCTCGTTGGAGCTTGGTCTCACAACATGTGTTTTGACATGCTACGAGACATTGTCGTGCTCTGCTGTCTACTTTCGGTTGTCGGTCCATCTACTCCGGCAACTGCAAATGCAAAACCCAGCATCGCAGGTCCGAGTTGATTGTTTCTGAATTTAGCGAGACCGACACGCAACGTTCAGCAGCGCAGAAAAACTGTCCTGTTGCACGGACGGCACGCCGTGTGGCATCGCCCACCACCAAGACGTCACTGGAGCTTCATAGCATGGGATTGTTGTTGTTGTTATTGTTGTTACTGTGAGGCCTGCACCATTTACCGATCGAGAAACGCAAGCATGTGCCTCCCATGATGCACATTTGCTTACCGTAAGCTACTGCCGTAAGCGGCTTACGTGTATAACAGTAACGTTAGCCGAGATTGGGCTTGCCGATTCTTGCCCCACGGCGTGAACGAGCCTTGCACAACAAAAAGAATCAACTCGACGATAAAAATGATCAAGTCGATCGCCCTATCTCGTCCAAAGCTACTTGCATGACCGGTCGAGACACCATATTCGACGTGTTCATATGCATGGCGACTCGATCGCGTGCTTGGTCAGGGACCAAGATGATGGAAACGCGAAAGCGACAAGGCCATCCGATGGCTAGCAAGATACTACGACGCAAAAATAGGCCGTCAAAGCGCCTCCATCCTTGGGTCCGAAGATGTTCATTTTCCATTTGCCCCGACAACACGCAGCAACACGCTTTCAATGACGACCCGCTTTGTCGACCCGACGACCGCAATCGAATCGCTCGACAACTACGAAACCGACGTCCAACCAGCGCTCGCCGACGGCCAGATCAAACTCAAAGTTGCGTCCAAAGAGAAATTACTGGCCGCCACGAGCGCCAAAAAGTGCATGGAGTCGCTCGAGGACGGTGCATACTCTCTCGAAACCGCAATCGCTGCATCCCATGGGCATCCGTGCAACACGTTGATCATTGGTCTCACAAGCCGGTACCAGACGCTGGTCGTCAACACGGACATTGCGTGCGCCACGTACCTCAGCTCGTCGATGGACGCACTCAAATTCTACAAATATGCCTTCTATTTCGTCGGCGAAGGTCAGATCGACGAAGCCAAAGCGTTGCTGCAGGCGACCGCCGACATCGCCGCGAGTTTGGAGACGATCGCGGCGGAGCTCGAGCAGCAGTCCGCCAACGCCATGCGCGAGGCCGAGACGAGCCTCGAAGCGACGAGTACAGCGAGCACGCTGGCCTGCGAGACGAAGAACCAAGCAGCCATCGCGCGCGCCGTGGCAAGTGCCAAGCAAGCAAAGCTGGATGAACGCAAAACGGACAACGAGAATGATGTCAATGCGGCCAAGACATCGCTGGACGCAGCTGCCCGCGAGCGCCAAGCGCAAGACACAGTTGAGATGACCGACGTCAAAGTGCTGTGGGGCCTCTACGAAGTCTCGCGCGAAGGTGAGCGTGCCAAGCTCAAGCACCTTCAAGACCTCGAGACTGCGCAGCGGACTGCGTACCTTGATGTGCTCAAGAAGCAGCAAGAGCACAACCAGGCGATCAACGACTTGACACTCGAGCTCGCGAGTTTGGACGCAAAAGGCGACACGTACGAACGCGCCGTGATAGCGCTCGAGATTACCGTGAAGGCGCTCGGTGGTATCAAAACGTGCTTTGAAGAAGTGCGCGAATTTTGGGCCTTGCTCAAGGTGCACTGCCACAGAGTCGCTGGTCCCAACAAGCTTTTGGAGGCGGGTTTCAGGTGTGCAAGCCAAAACAGCACCGGCATGCTCGTCAAGGTCATGACCGACGATTGGTACCAGTGGCTCGCGCTCGCCAAGACCAACTACATGGCCGTGTGTGGCATGGCCAAAGTCAAGACCAAGGTGCACCACATCATGTCGAATTTGCCCAACTCGGCGCAGGCCAGCGACCGCCTCGATGCGCTCATCAAGGGTTTGACGTCGAAACTCAACGAAAGTAAAGCGGTCCTCAAAAATCAAATTGAAGAGGTCGAAAAGAAAAACGCGGTAGCTGCTGTCTAGCGACCGGTACTCGAGGCGACTAACTCGCGTAACGATTTGTTTCTACATTTCCAAAGGGACATGATGGACACGGAAGAGGACCGAGTGCCCCATTAACTAACTCCTACTAGTATTCAGTAGCACCGACTCGGCGCCGCGTTGGCGTTCATAGGTTTGTAAAACCAGACCATATTTCGTCGAGAAGCCTTCACACTAGGTACGGCGTTCTGGTCCCGAGGCTATCTTGGTGCTGTTTTGCCCGGCGAGAAGCTTGCCGTCGTCCACTTGCATCTCGCTAACGAACTTGATGGAAAAAGCAAGCGTTGCGCCACGTGGGCCCCTCTCCTCGAACTCGGCAACTGCGTCCCGTCTTTAGTAGAAAGCGGGGACATGATGGTGGAAGCCTAATCGCGCCTACAGCTCCAGCACTTATTTGGGTTCCAAGTTCTCGTTTCGTGAAGCCCGAACACGGGTCCGCGGGGAATGTAGCTCAGTCGCCTCGAGTCGTAAAATGGGATGCAATTAACGTCTACAGCCTACAACACAGTATTTCCACCGCCTGATGCGCCCTGCGCTTGGAGCGGCTTGGTGAATCGGCGTCTCTTCAGGCCAGGCTACCGGCGGGAGCCAAGCATACTGGGCAGTAGTCTCCAGTAGCTTCTCCAGGGTACACGGGCAGCCTGCAACCAAGAGGGTCACCGGGAACTCCAGGGTCCGAGGCAGCGTAGAGGTCAAAACGGCGATTGGCACCTCACAACACACAACGAGTGGTATACGTTCTTAGTCCTAGTGCGCTAAACACTGTGTTTTACTAGGTGCCTTATCTAGGGCGTCCGCTGTCCGATGTGAGCTTTGAACAGGCGTCCTTTAACACGGTTTCGTTCCTGTTGCGGCAACCGTCGACGTCGTCTGACACCTAAATCTGGCGGGTGTTTCGGGTTATCGCCGCATCCGACGACGCACATGCTGGGCCGATGGGATCTCGCGGGCTGGCTCTACGTCGTGTGGTCCACCGCGTGGAGCGTCTACGGCCTCATTCTCTTCTTCCCATGGACCCAAAACGACTTGTACTGGCCCGGTTTTGACAACGTCTACCCGTTGTTCCAGTCCATTTTGAACACGCAGCTCGCGCTGCTGCCGAATGCAACGCTCGACATTAGAGACATTGCGGCGCCACGCTACCGCGTCTACGACCGATTGGCGACCGGCGTCTCGCCCGTCTACCCGAGGTACCTCGTGTACCAAGAGCTCACGAGCCCACAGACGGCGATTCCGAGCTTGCGCCGCATGGATCCAGGCTACCTCAACTACATGATCACGCCGTACTGTTGGGTCGACTTGAACCGGCGCTGGTCCATCGCGCATACGAGCAAGCGCCTCGAGCGTTGTCGCTTGAGCGATACCGACAATGCTGCCGTGTACCTCGAGGCCGTCCTGCGCAATACGCGTCTTGACGTGTGGCTGGGTCAAAATTACGACAGCTTTTACAACAAAATTGCGGCGGGTGTGACAGACCTCGGTGGCGCCAGTTGGGTCGCGGCGATCGTCGACCACCAATGGCTCTCGATCGCCGACGAACTCGATGTCTGGTATCGTCGCGGTCTGGTGCGTTTCGAGCTTCAGTACGGGAACCGCGTCCAGATCGGGCTGGACGACCAGATCCAGATTCACACGGCGCTCGGCACGACGTTTGCGTATCCCATCCAAGCGATTCCGGCACTGAACCGAGGGCCGTCGTGGACGTCGTCGTACATGTACATGGCGCTCTTCAATGACTTTAACGCGCTCAGCTCCAACCAGTCGCTCGTCCTCAACAGCGCTCTGTGGTTTGGCGCCAACGGCAACCGCCAACTGGAGAGCTACGATGTCGGATTGCCTCTCAACCGCGTGTTTCAATTGGTCCACGACGCCGTCGGCGCGCTCGACGACATTGACCTGCGCTGGGTCCGCGTGCCCGACGATCTCCGCGTCGCGGTCACCACGTTCCAAGCTCACCTGTTTGAAGCTTTGGAAAACGCAGACGTGGCGCGCGCGGTGGACGATCTGTCGACACTTCCGCTCGCCACCGTTCCGACGCAGTGGCAAGACCCGTCGCTGTGCTTTCTTGGCGGCAACCCCATGTGCAGCTACGGCGCGCCGCTCCCATTTCCGCAGCGGTCCTTTGCCTTCGATGACGCGTGCGGGACGCAAGCTCCGATTCTCGATGTGTGGACTCCGTTCAATGGCCTTTTTGCCCATATGATGCTGGGCGGCGACGCGTCACGTGTCTGTGCCCACGTGCCGTCGGCCACCGCGGCCTGCGTGCGGCAGCTGGACGCCACGGCACGGGCGTACCGCCTGCTTCTCACCACGACAATGAATCGAACGGTGCTGGACGCAGCGGCGCAGGCGGTGTTGCCACTGCACTTGTCGGTGATGCAATTTGTCCTCGACGCAAACGACACTTTGTACATTGACCATATTGACCTATTGCATGGTGACTTTACCTTTTTTGGCTGGCTGCGCGTCTACGATTGGGCGACGCTGCAGCGCGAAGCCATTCGCTTTGAGGGGGACCACGACGCCATGACGCTTTTGTCGTATACCTACGCGCTGCTACCGAGCGCCTCAAATGGCCTGTTGTACAGCGCGAGTTGGTATCTCTGGTTCGTCTCGAGCACAGTGTCGCTCGTTCTCTGCCTCGTGGCGCTACTGGCGACAATGCTCTGGCTGCTGACGCGCACCGCGCACGCGCAGTGGACGGTCTTTAACCGCATTGTGCCGGCTATCTGGCTCAACCGCAGCGCCCTTGTCGTACGCAGCATCACGGCGGTCTTGGCCTTGTCGACGGCCTCGGTGCAGCCGCGCACCAACCACGGGGCCACGCAATTGCAAGTGGACCAGCATGACCTGTTGGTGACGCTCGTTCTTGCGAGCGAAGCCACGTGGTTTGGCTACGCGTGCCATGACCTCCTTCATCCGCTCACGACGCCATTCACGCGCGCATATGCGCCGCTGAGCTTTGCGCTTTCGTGGGCCAGTCTCATAATGTTGGACACTTTTGCGCCCATCACAGCGTCCATTCATCTCGAACGACACTGCTCCTTGGTCAACATGGACTGGCAAGTCTACTGTACGAGTGCAAGTGTTCAAATTGGGTCCCCACTGCGTACACTCACCATCTTTGGAGTGCAACTGGTATCAATCGTCCTTGCGTATACGGTGTCACGTTGGCATGCGTCGATGGCCGTCGCTCCGAGCAGTGCTCTTGGCGCACCACCCCTCTTGTACCACTCGTCGGTCGTGGCGTTTGCGAGCTTGGATGACAGCGGCCGCCTCGATGTTGTCACCGCCGCCATGGCGGGTCTCTTGAGCCTGCCGCGCAATCGGTATTTTCACGTCAACTTGTGGCGCTCTGTCCACCGCCCGTCGCTTTGCTTGCCGCCACTACCAGTCACTTCGTTAGCCACGTCTCGCAGTTCCGAAGGCCCTTTGTTGCAAATGTTCTTTGAAAAGGCGCGCTGGATCACGCTTGGGGGCTGCGTCGTGTACATTCTAGCGACGTTGACAAGCAATGTGCTCTACTACTCGGTCGTCGCCAATGACCTTAGCAATGACTATGGCTGGGCGGGCTTCAACAGCTCCGGCGCACAAGCGTTCGTGGCCAATGTGTTCAATCGGCAACTCATGTTGACGACGCAAGAGCCTGCGTTTGCACTCGACAGTCCTGGTCATGGCGACATGAGTCAGCTCTACAATTCGTCGACGACGGTCATTCTATGGGCCGAGTCGAGTGCCCGTCGCCAGCTGTACTCGGATGCATCCTTGGATGTAGCGGTTGCAAACCTGCGGCGCATGCATCCGTGCCAACTTCCGTGGATGTTTACGCAGTACTGCTGGCTCGACATGAGCCAGACGTGGGAGATGGCGGCCACCGCGTCCCGTCAAGCGCGCTGTGCGAGGAGCATGGCGTCAAATGGCGCCGTGTACCTCGAGATAGGTCTGCGGAACCTCAACAACTGGACGACTTGGGACACTTGCTGGGGCGACTCGTGGCAGCTTGGCTTTGTAAAGTACTTGGAAATGTCCGGTGACGGACAACAATGGCTCGAGAGCATCTCAAGCGCGGCCCTCTCCATTGAGGACGAAGTCCGCTTCTGGGAGTCCCATGCGATCTCGACCTTTCAGCTGCAGTGGCAAAACTACAAGACGCCGGGCATGGACGACAGCATTTGGATTCAGAGTGCACTGGGCGTAACCTACTCGCTTCAGCTCAGTGAATTCGTCGGCCACTACCATCCGAGTCAACAGACATCGTTCAAAATGTATTGGTCGCTGGCCAGCGACCTCTGGGCCATTACTACCAACACGTCTGGTATCGGGGGCGCCAGTTTGCTTCGGAGCAGCTCCCTCTTTGCGTTCGTGAACGTGTCGACGACCTCGGTGCTTGTGCAAAATACCACCTTGTCCCTTCCGCTCACATCTGGGTTTTCCCTCTTAACAAAAGCGGTCGGGCCCTTTGGCGCCATCGATCTCGCCTACGTCCTGCCCCCGAAAAGCCTCCTAGTGTTCTACGACGGCGTTGTCCACAATTTGACGCGCCTTGTCGTGACCGACCGTGACGCACAGGCAGCTTTCGTCGATCTCACGCTCCAGGCACAATACCAACCCGTGCCGTACGAGGTCGTCTCCAACTCGAATTTGCTTCTCGGTGGCGGCAACATCTTTTGTGGTAATGACGTGGCCCCTTGGCCGGCTGCCAATGGCATGTACGTCGGCTTTAGCGTCACCAACATGTGTCACTCGGTGTTCACGGGGTATCTCATGCCCACGCGCGCGTCCGAGCTCTTCAGTCTTCTTGGCGCCAACAGCACGGATGCCGACCTCGATGGTATCTGCTACTTGGACACGATGCGGCCGTCGCAGTGCACCACGCAGCGACTGAAAGCGATGGCCTTTTTAATGACCTACAACGCCACGTTTGCATCCACACCGGTTCTTCGCGCGTCGGCGGCTGCCGACATTGACGCGCTCGGCGTCTCGATGCTCCAGTATCTGTTCGATACAGCGACCAATACGACGCTCCAGCGGTTCTATCGACTTGACGACCGGCACGATCGCGCGTGGTCGTTCTACGGGTGGGGCTTCCTCTACGAGTGGGCTGCTGGGACGCGGGAAGTGCTCTCGCTTCGCGGTGACGCAGGGCGCATCACGGCCATCTCGTCGGCGACACCGGTGCTCAGCATGGTACCAAATCCAAACGCGATTCCATCGAGCTTTTCCTCCTTGTCGGGCTACTGCGTCCAGTACATCACAATCGTCCTCATTCTCGTGAGCGCTTCGCTTGTGCTCTCTGTCGCGTACCGCCGCGGCCACGTCGAGTGCCTCAACCTCCTCTGCGTCAACCGTATTGTCGGTATGGTCTGGCTTGGCCGCCCGTTCGTGCTGGTCCGCAGCCTCTCGGCAATCTGGCTCCTCAACACGAGCCCGCTTACGCTTGTGCAAGCGGGTGTCGCCACGTACTTTACGTCTCCGCCATTAGCGTGGTACACCACCCTCCTCGCCACGTCCGAAATGACGTGGCTTGTCTACGTCCTCAACGACCTCTTTTCGTGCGTCTCGCAGCAGTACACGTTGCTCTATGCGTCCAAAAGCTCGAGTTTTACGTGGGTTGTCTCGTTTGTGTGGACGCTGCAGTCCCCGCAGCTGTACGCTGCGACGATCCACCGACGCTGTGTTGCCACCGACATGGACCTCCAGCTCACTTGCGTGAGTGGCGTCATCGCTGTCGGCAGCCTCGACCGCCTCGGGCACTCGATGGCCCTCATCTGCAGCTGCGTATTGAGTACATACGTTGTACAGCGGCTGCGGTTCCCACATTGGCCGCCGCGTGAGATTCCTTCTGTCGTCCTCAACGCGCAGAGCTACTACTTGATGCGACTGCACGCGGTCGACGGCGCCCTTTTGCTCGACAAGACGTCGGCGATCATGGCCGGGCTCTTATCGTACGAGTTTCAAGGCCGCGTCTACTTGATGGACATCAAGAGCTGGCGCCTGTGGCACGGACCGACGACACTGGACGCCCATCGGCGCGCGTCGCACGTCTTGCCCCGTCTCGAATGACGTCATCCCCATTGTTCTATAGCTACTGCGCACCAAAGCGTGTACGGTCCACACGTGCCACTGCGATAGTAGCACATATGAACTGTAAACGAGTCGACAACGTGAGTCGTGAGACGACCGGTGTGCAAACGAAACCGCCATTGCGATGGGACAAGCAACCGGTTCAAGCACGTGTTTCTGGTCCCGTCGCATAAAACGAAGCTATAAAAGTATTATATACAGTCACTACGCTATTTCCCTCGGCTCGGCCTATCACACACATGTATATTTCGTGGTCGACCAAAGGTGCAATCGTCACATTGGGTTCAAAGTGTATGTCATTTTAGTGTTTTAACTACTGAGTTTAATCGCGTGGGGTATTTCGTGACAGACCCAACACGCGTCGGCGGGACCTTCCTCTGGGTCGCGACTTGAAACATTTTATAAATACGCGCAGCGTGGTGCTCAGACGGCAGCAGCCACGGCTGCTGTCGACGCGCTCTGCGGCTGCGGTACTTGCTGTTGCTGCTGCTGTTGCTGTTGTGCGAATTGCTGCTGGAGCTGGTGCTGCTGGCGCCGGCGGCGGTGGGCTTGCTGGATCAAGTGCAAGAGGAGCACCTTGATGGTCTTTTCGTCGAGGGTGCGACCGCGCGCGACTTCGTTGATGCGGTGCTCCATCTTGTACGCGACCAGCGGTAGCTTGGCCGAGAGCTTGGTCGCCGGCAGCTTGCTGGTCTTGGACGCACTGTCGTTGAGGAGGCGGGCGACAATGTACACGTTGCGCTTCCGGGCTTCGGTGAGGCACATGCGGTAGTTTTGTGTCATCGGCATGCTGCACTCTCGGACTCAAAGTAAATGAAAAACTGAGGCACACACTGAGTTTGTGGGAGCTGCGTGTCCCTAACGGCGCCCGCATAGAAACTTGGTTCGATGCACATGAGAGCGCCAGAGACACGGTCCGAGGCGCCATGGCCTGCTGGGTCATAAATAGGGCCTGCGAATTGCACTAACAAGTACAGTCGCGGCCACGACGTTAGCTTCAAGCTCTTCTCTATCGGGTCATATTCCGTCAAGCGACAAGCAACAAGAAGCATCAACAGCATGCATGCGCGACGGGGTTTGTTGTGAAATGAATTGAGACACCATGCGTCCGTGATCACGGCCAACTTCAAGTTGACCCCGCGGGCCATGGTCGACGATGACCATCCAAACTCCATGTCGTACACGCTGCTCGGCGACAGTGCAATAACGAACATTCGTGGCGCTGACCAACACAGCTGACCAACACACGATGCTTCTTGCTCCTCCAGCCAAGTGCAAGGTGGCAAAGGGCAAAGTGTACTTTTTTTAGGGAATTTGTGATTGACAAGTCGTGGCACGCACTGGCTTGCGCGGCGCTGGACGTCGCTGCCCTCTGTGCTCCGCGGCCATTACACCATATCAATTGTGCGAAGGACATTGGTACAAGCTTCGATACGCAGATACAAATTCCCTATCAAATGGTTACGAGACATGCAGCGCAAAGGCTTCTCTGCAGTGTCTTTGTCGATCCGTCGACGCACCCGCATGATATGGCGCCGCCCCATAGAAGCCGCCCCTTTGCCTTTGTCTGGCCCACTTGTCATCACCGCTGCGATATGAACCAACGTCGTTGGACTCGGCCATTTGTCATTTCAACCACCACCTTGAAGTCCCTCGGCATTCCGCGCCATGGGCCAAGCACCTGTCGGTACGCTCCCAGTTAACATCCGTGGCGGGCATAAAGAGATGCGAGATCCACTGGCACAAAGCAAAGAGCCACGTGCTTAGAAAAGGCACCTGATCGGACGCTCGCGCCAGGTACGCCCTCGCATAGACAGACGCAGCTACTTTGGACCAGACACGCAAAAGTGCTTGCAAATGGCCTCGGTGCATACATGCACCGCAGCATGTCCCAATGTCTCCGTCACGATGATGGCGACTCGTACAACAGTGCTTCTTCATGCGGGGTTACCGACACCAACGCTAGCGTGTCCTATGCCTCGGTCTCGGCATCAGGCACGGCTTCGGACGCACTCGCGCGGTGCCGAGCGACGCGCCGGAGCGTGTCCTTGAAGTCTTCTTCGTCCTTCTCGGTTTCAAACACTTGGATCGCGGCTTGGACGACAACGTCATTCTCAACGAGCGCAGTTTTCAGCGCGAGCAGCTCGTCGTCCGGCAAGTCGAGCTCGTAGACAAGGTGCAGAATCTGCTTCTCCATCACCGACATATCGACACGACTCGTGTCCTCATCATGTGCGCGTGGACTCGAGAGCGGGCTGGCGACCGTCGACGGCGACGCAATGCGCTCGAGCGTGTCCACCAAGTCGGGCTACATCCCACATGAGCCTCCTCCTTAGCTCAAGCGACGTACAATGTCGAGGCTGTCGGCGTATACGTCGAGGGCAGCGAGGACGCGCGGGTCCTCGGGCGCCAAGTGCGCTTCGACGTCTTGGCTGAGACGTCCGGCGGTCACGAGGTCATCGAGGGCGTCCTTGGCCACCTCCAAGTCGGATGCCGGTGGGGTACTCGTCGCCAGCCGAAGCAGCGTGTCGGTAAAGTCGTCTTCGTTGCGGTCCTGAAGGAAGAGAAAGTAGGCTGCCATGAGCCGCGGGTCGTTGGCGTCCCAGAGGTCGCGAAGACCAGCGCCACGCCCGTCTTGCTCGAGCGGCACGATCCTACGCCATCCTAGGATCCGCATTTTGCGCCTAGAGAGGCGACGCACCATGTGTAGAGGATGCTTTGGTGGTTGGCTTCCCAGTTCAAGACGCCGCAGAGGTCGTGCAGCAGTGGGAGCAGCGCTGCCTTGTCCCCATCGTGCTGGAACGACGTTGCCGCCGCAAACAAGCGCGCATCTTGCTTCTTGATGAGCGTCTTGAGCGCCATTTGCTGGCCCGCGCTAAGGTCCGACGACGCCACGAGGCGCTCCAAAAGCTGTGCAATGTACAGCTCGGTCGAATTTGGCGGGTAGTGCGACGGTGACAAGATCAGGTTCGCTGGGCTTCCGACATCATCCGGCAACGACGTTGCTACGTGCAGAGCTGGCTTGGCCTTTGGGTTGGGCTTGGCTTTGGAGAGGTTGGACGCTGGCGCGGCCTTGGCGACGGGCTTGGCCGATGGCGTCGACCGTGCCGACAGCGACGACGACGTCCGCGCCGCGCCTTGCACGGGTGTTGACGGCGCGGACCCCGGCACAAACGTCCCGTACGACGGCGGCGAGCGTACGTCTTGCGCTTTCGGCGAGAGCGGGTGCAGCTCGTCGAGGTCGATGCGGGGCACACTAATTGGCGTCGGCTTTTGCTTGGTCAAGCTAATCCGATGCATATGAAGTTTCACGGGACGAGGCGGTGGGACGTACCCAGCGTGCTTGACGACGAGGAGGAGCGTCTCGACGAGCTCCTTGAGATCGTGGTCGACCTGGAAGGCTTCCATGGCACCGACCATGGCGTCGTTCTTGGCGCGCCAGAGCCGGAGTAGTCCCTGGTACTGGAGGCTCGTGAGGGCGCTGCGCGACTGCATTTCTTTGAGCACGTCTTCCATCGAGAGAGCAGTGACAAGGACGCTGGGCGACGCTGTCGAGGGCGACGCGACCGCCGGCGACTTGAAGCGCACGATACGCAGGAGCGTGTCGGCAAACTCCATGCGGTCTTCGTCGAGCTCGTAGACCTCCCATGCAGCAAGCACGAGCTCGTTGCCTGTCCATGTCAGCATGCAGATGCGGTCAAAACAGACTTGATGTACCTTGGGTGTACAGCTCGTGGATGAGTGCAATGTCGTGGGGCTTGAGCACCGAGAGGGTGTTGACGACGCGCGTGAACGACGACTTTTGCTGCTGCAAGACAACGCCCAAGACGCGGTGCACGGCCGCGTACAGGCCGTCGAGCGACTTGTCGGCTTCGTACGTGGCAAATGCCTGTCGCAGCACGGGGTGGCCTTGGCCGATGAGAAGCTCGAGGCGATTCAGCTGGTCGGGACTCAGCGCCGACGGCGACGTGGCACTCCATTGCGACAGCAGCGCATAGAGCTGCTCGGTCCATGGGCGCGACGAGGGCGGCACGACTGGCGCCGGCGTCGTCGTTGCCGCCTTGGCCAGCACGAGCTCGTACGTGTGGTTGGGCTGGAAGAGCGTCGGAAAGGCCGTGCCAAGCGCAAGTGGAATAAAGGTCTTGGTCTTGGCATGCACAAAGCCGACGGCGTCCGTCGTCCACTCGGGCGCCCCTTGCGCAAAGAAGGCCGCATGCAGCATCAGGTTGAGCTCGCTCGGGCGCATCTTCTCGTAGACCGCGATCTTCTTGGTGACGCTGCCATGGCGGACCTCGGCGACCGCGATCGTCGGGGCGGGGGAAGCGAGCGAGGTCGTACCGGCCATGGGCGTTGGAATCTTTTGTGAAGCAACCCAGCTGGCACAAGCTAAGGCGTGAATATGCATATGCACGGACCAATATTCTCTTTTGACAGGATATACACTGCAGCAGCCCCGGTTCGATCGCTATATTCGGCATCTGCCACATAAAAACGCGCTGCCCTAATAAAGTGCAAGACCATACATATATTAAGTTTACAATTGCATATATTGACAGAATGCAATGACAGAGCTTGCAAATATATTGTCGAGGATTTCGAAATGGGTGCGCTCGTGGTATTTCTATTGGCGTGTACAAATAAAAATATCGTATTTTTAAACCATTTTACAGACGCCGTTTTTTGATTCCATACAAAAGACAAGCTTGCATAGAGTACAAGGCTCCTGATGGGGTTGGTATTTCATCGTATTTTAATGACAAGTGCACAATAAAAGAACTCTCTTACGTGGCACGGCGCCCTGCGGGCATAGAACTGTGGCTCGTTGGGACCGTGCGAACCACTCGTTGCTCATCTCGATACGACGACGCGCAACCAGCGTCGCTCTGGCAGGCGAATCACTGCAGTTGCGTGTGTCAGGATGAGGCGGCTACTTGCGTCTCGGAGGCGTTATCCATGTCCTAAAGCTCGAGTCGTTGTCGCCATGGTGATGTGACGACCACGCTGCGCAGTCAGCCTCTTGGCAACTTGCGGCTTTGCATCGCGCTCGTCACAGCAATATCCCGACATCAGACAGGTGGCAGCGGCATGCCTGTTGTCCTGGCTCACGGTTGGGAACGTCGAGTCTGGGGTCATCTAGTATATACCGTTAGTCGAGGGTAGGGCAGTGAATGCAGGTTAGTACAAGCCGAGAGTGCATGTGGCGCGCAACGCACTTGTCGATGAGCAATGCGATGGTCGGGTGGCGCTCAAAATGAAGCTCAAAACGACGCTCAAAAGACATATATTATCAATGGATGGTCTGGTTGATACTTGCGTGGGCGTCGACCAACACTCGCTTCCGGAATGAGCGGCTTCATTCGCCAGCCAATCAAACGACAGATCTGAAACCTATCAACCAATCACATCAAAGTGACTGCATCACCCGCGAAAAGTGCAATCTCGGCTCAGCCACATTGGCATCTGCAAAATGGAAGCGACGCTCTGCAACCCGGTCCTGCTTCAGCTCATCACTGCGTACCAGCACGGCTGGTGG